CATATATTTATTATATTGGTGTTTATTTAAAAACTTATAATAACTAATTCGGCTCCTACAGGTCCATCCTCGATCGGTGTGCCAACTCCTTCGATCCCATCCGCCATATCCAGGGGTTTCGCAGAGTTCCAGGGTGCCGAAGCCTACGTGGTCGTCCAACCACTTTCGGTAGGGGCGATGACTGGGTCTACTTCTGGTCTTCCATTGGCATCAGGGGCTTCTGACTCTGAAGAAGTTTGGCTCGTCAAAGGTGCCTGCACGTCGAAGGCATCCGGTCTGCAGAATGCCTCGATGTCGGAGTGTTAGAGTATAGCTTTCTAACACTCCGTGGTTCTCCCCATCCTTCTCTTGACTTCAACCCATGTTGAAGTCAATGGTTGTAGCCTTCTGCTGCGAGTCGAGCTGGGTCGTGGGTGCGGATTTTGACCACGTTGTCGGGCGCCATGTCACCTCGGGATAAATGGAAAGGGTCTAAACGCCTTCTTTTGCCTCCGGGTGCTCTGTAGAGGGCTTCGAAAACATCAACGATAGCTCCTCTACTTAAGTCCATTTTCAGGGTATGGACTCGGAAATGTTTTCTTTTTCTTGCCTTGAAAAAGGCAAGATATTTCTTACATGACAAAGGTTAAGTCGAAATAAAAATACCAGGTTGCAGTAGAATAACATCTCAGCCACAGAGTATGGATAAAGCTAAAAACAAGAGCAGAGCCCCGAGAGCACTAAGCTCTCGGAGAGCCCGTGAGGGACTGCCTGATTGACCTAAAAATCGCCTATTTTTATACTTTCTGAAGTAGCGATTAGGGATTTCCAGGTCAGGGAGGGGCCAACGGGAAAAATAAGGGGCGGGGCGATGCGTCTCGAACGTGAACTAGTCGCGTCCGAGAACATTACCATAGAATAATAAACAATCAGAATGCCCACTCTGCTTGTCAATATAAAAACGCGCAGACGGAATCAGCCATGTTTTAAACGGAACCAGTGCTGTTCAGCGACATTTTATCTGGCGTGCACAGAAAAATTAACCCGGTTTAATTTATTTACGGCAACTGTTTGGGAAAGTATGTACGATTTCTTTTCATATTTCATCTCCTTTGTATTTTGTGTCAAAAATATAGAAACAAGTGTGAGGTTTTGTATTACCGTGACAATTAACTTAAACCATCGCCATTCAAAATCGCAATACAATAGAGTGGTTTATTAGTGTACCCTCTTGTTACGGACCACCACGGAATGGTTAGAGGGTTTCTTAGTTCTGACCATCTCAACGTCCTGACACTTCAACACGAGACAGCGAACGAAACACAACCACTGATCGGTTCGATCCTCGGCGCCGGACGTCCCCTAAGTCTATATTCTTTTTACAAACAACAATAATGAGTAAGACCAGTTAATTTCGTAATTGATTCACAATTGATAGTTGCTATTTTCCACTAGTTTAGTTACAAACAAATATTGCATTTTTTCTTTATTATTTTTTATTATCATTTTATTATATTATATTTTTATTATTTTAATATCATTTAACCAGCGACCTCTTTATACAAAAGCTTTATACAAAACAGCAACCATAGACATAATATATAGACATAATATACACTATTTTATTCGTACTTTTAGTTGAAGAATTAAATTATTTCAAATTTACTAAATTATTAATCTCTAAAAATTTAAATTACAGTTCTGTCGTAGCTTATCACAAATTTCTCAATTCGAAAAATTCTGTGATATGGCGATCGCGTGCTAACACACTTCAAAGGCGGCATCTGAGAGTGGGCATTCTGATTGTTATTTATTTTGTGTTTTTATATAATAATCTATAGTACTTTTCATATGAAGATGCTTGCACGTCATAATTTATATAAAGTGACGTCACTTATATTTAAAATTTCCAGAACGTCAAACTTAGAGTTCAAATTTTCCTAACACAGCTAATAATACGAAACATCTACGGAACTACTCGATCTTTTATAGGCGCCAACATGGTGTAATGTAATCAGAAAAATGTAATCATCATTTTTGACCAAAAACCAAAAACATTTGTTATTATTAATAATACAAAATTTATGAAATAACTCTTTAAGTCTAATATTCCACAAAATAATAATTTTAATTAAATAGATTAGACAATTGTACGCAACTGATACAGGACTACTTTTCTTTTACTATCAGGAATTTTATTGACAGTTCAGCGTGTCTCAAAATTGGTTGAAGTGTTGCCACTTTTTTAGAGTAAGAATTTTGTTTATGTTTTGATTTCTTACCCAATTTAATCATAATATAATAAATATATTAATAAATTGTATTTATAAATACACATTAAATTTAGATTAATAGCTTTAAAAACTACTTATAGTTGTGTATTGTGATTGTGTTATGCCAAAACAAATAAATAGTCTGTAGAAAGCTGATAAGCTTTCATGTAAGATAGATTATTTTGAACAAGAAATAATGGCGGGACGTTTTTACTATTAAAGCTTTAAAAGAGCTAAGTTTAAAATTTAAGATATATAATTTTGTATTAAAAACTTCAACTTCGAAAGCGCGTAATTAAATGCTACATTTGGTAAATTCTCTTACACGGTGTCGAAGCATGGACATTAAAAATATCCACCATTAATCGTCTGGAGGCCTTTGAAATGTGGCTGCACACACGTATACTAAAAATTCCATGGACGGCTATGCTGACAAATGTGGCAGTCCTTGAGAGATCAAATGCTGGTCGCAAGCTGCTTGATAACATCAAATGTAGAAAGATGGTCTATTTTGGACACGTAGTAAGAGGAGACCGATATAATATTCTTCAACTTATTATGGTGGGTAAAATCGAAGGACGCAGAGGAATTGGTAGAAAGCAGGCCTCTTGGTTGAAGAATATCAGGGAGTGGACAGGAATAAGGAAAGCTGAGCAACTCTTTAGAATAGCTCGAGACAGAGACAGTTTCGCCACGTTAATCGCCAATGTCAAGGGGACTTGATAGGGCAAGTTAAGAAGAAGAATAATAGTTTGACAAATAGTTGACATTTTAAAAATTTCTCACTTACTAACTATTCTGATGTTTTGGCAACGCTGTGGGGTTCTGACGTCGTAAATCTTGAATGACGTGTAAGCATTTTTATATGAAAAATGCTACATAAACGATTATCCATCTAGTAAATTAGTTGTCTGTTAGAAAATAATTAATCTGACACCCTGCTCTCAGATAGTGCTCATACAGAATAACTTAATTTTTTATTATTATTTGAGCACAAAAACATCTTATTAGTGCACCCTGCAATCAATTTGTTAGTTTTATAATAATTAAAAACGATTTCCCATCTATATTCCATTAGTTTTTATTTAAAAAATAACTACTTTGTTAAATTGGGTAACCCCACAAACATCTAATTCATTTTATAATAAGTCACAAACGATTTCCCGTCTATTACCTTAGTTTTTTAGTTTTTTAATAAGTAAATTGTTTATTTTACAAACATCTAATTACTCTTACAGAATCTACAAGCGATTATCCGTTTAATAAATGAATTATCTTTTGAGAAATAACTCGTGCATTCAGAATAATTTAATTTTTTTCCAAATTATTTGGCCCTAAAAATAACTGATTAATTGCCCAACAATTTTTTAATGTTATATTATGTTTTCTATATTTTTAAAATTGAATAAATTATTGAAACTATACTTAAATGCTGAGGCGAGTGTCACGGAACTAGCGCCATAAGATCGCGTCGTCACGAAACTATCGCCACAAGATGGCGTTGTCACGGAACTAGCGCCGCAAGATGACGTTGTCACGGAACTAGCACCGCAAGATGGCGTTGTCACGAAACTAGCGTCGCAAGATGGCATCGTCACGGGTAGCGTCATAAAATAGTGGTTCATCACATCGATTCACTACTCTCGATCAATTTGTTTATAGTCATCATATATTTATTCTAAGCAGGTTTAAATTAAAAACTACATGAAAATAACTAACAAAATACAGATATTAAATGAGAAGTGAAAAATTAAAAGAATATCTGTCAATAAAAGATTCGATTCGGAACGATTGTCAAAATTTAAAAGTCATAAATGTTATCGTATTAGTAACAATGAACCATCTGTTTAAATTTTTAACACACTTGTTTTAAAATAATCTCGTATAAATACTAATTCGTTCTATAATCTAGTAATGATTGCCCATGTATTATATAAGTCTTTTTAATAGATAATTCATAATTAATAAGGTCTGCAAGTTGTCTCTTGAGGAAGAATTAATCTGGTGCTATCCTGGTGGCGCACACTCAGAATAATTTAATTTTTTTTTTCTTAATTACTTGAAAACAACCGTAAAAACAACTAATTAGATGACCCTATAAATATTTTGTTACTGTTATCACAGAATAATAAACAATCAGATGCCCACTCTGCTTAAAAAAATAAGTACGCGCATCTCATTCGCACAGACGGAATAAGCCATGTTTTAGTCGGAACCAGTGCTGTTCAATGACATTTTATCTGGTGTACATAGACAAATTAACCCGGTTTAATTTATTTACGGCAACTACAGACATAATATGCACTATTTTATTCGTACTTTTAGTTGAAGAATAAATTAAATTATTTCAAATGTACTAAATTATTAATCTCTAAAAATTTAAATTACAGTTCTTTCGTAGCTTGTCACAAATTTCTCAATTTGAGCCTATGTTTCCGTCTAAAACATGGCGTTCGCATGCTGGCAAACTTCAAAGACGGCTTAGGAGAGTGAGCATTCTGATTGTTATTTATTCTGTGTCAGAATATTGAAGGAAGTATTTTCTTTAACTACATGTAAAATTGCCTAATGATTGTCAATACGCTGCCAACTGTAAGCACATTCAATTTGTTTATAAATGCTGACGTTTTTTCTCTATCTCTCTTAACTAGTGTAAAAGTTGTATAAATCTGCCCTTGTTGTCAACAGTTTAGAGTTTCAATTTTTGTAAACGAAAATAATACCTACGTCACGTCATCTGTCTGATCTGTCTGGGTGTCATGTGTTGTTAGCAACTGGGGTATTATGATTTTTCATGCTTTTAACAGAGTTTTTGTGTAGTGTTAAGTTATTTAATAAAAGGTAATACTTTATTTCAAATGAAATAGTATGTTCAATATAAATTATAACATTTTCTATTTTTTCTATAGTCCACCCTTGACAAGAGCACGTTTTCGAAATGAAATTTGACCTATATTTATTTAAGAATAAACTACATTTTTGTATATCTTTAATAATATACAATGTTTTTAACAATCAATCAACCTACTGGAGTCTTCAGGAACAATTTAATTCCAGTTGGACTATTTTAATCTTTCAAACTTATGCAACATTATCACATGCTGTATCTACATTCCTACATCTTGATCTTCTTAAAACGTTAGACCTTGTTTAAAACGCAGATAGTCAGCGCTTCAGAGATAATGACGGCTTCATTTGTTTTATTTTTTTCATTTACAATGTAAACTGTTTTTAGTGTTTCTATAATTACTCACTGATCTTAAAATAATCCCAAAGTATTTAGTATTCCTTCTTGTTTTTATTTCAACAAATACTTACTTTTGATGAATTCATATGTATCATTAACGAATATGTTGCATTTTTTGTACTGCAGGAGTAATATAAAAATATGAGTGCTGTTATTAAATGTGTTAATTCAAACAAGGATTCTTGAATAATTGACTTTCATTATTAAATAATTAAGTACACAATTCTCCACAAAAGTGTTAAATAGTGTAAATGTTTGGTATTGTTCACTTAAGGCCTTGACCATCTATATTTACTGGAGTGTTCATCATTATGTCATTCTTTATATTTCTGTACTTTTATTTTTATATTGTAAAATATTTAGTTAATTTGGTAATAACACAAATTAAAAACTTTTGATTTTCTATCTATATTTGTAAGAGAAAATATAAATAAGATACAAAATATATTGTTTATAATTGAAATTCTGTAACATCAGCAAGACTTTTATTTATAAATAATTTTTATGCACAAACTGTCACCAATTTGTTGTCAAACTTTACACAACACAGTGTTGCCAATGTAAATGTACAAATTTTCTGCAATGTTCCTATCAAATCTTTAAAGGGATGTAATTGTAACTGAAAAGTATCCAAAAAAGTAGCCAAAAGTGAATTATTTTTAGTATTATTCTTATCTTTTTTTGGACCATATCATAGAAAATTCACACATTTAACTAAGTGAAAGTACTTTGTGTTTTGTATCAGCAAACAGTACTTCCTTTAATCTTCTTCTGTTTAGCTACAATTATTTCCTCATATATTATTAAATATAACATAATTCCCTTGAGATAGAATGTTAATAGGTCTACATAACATAGGTAAAGACTTTTCCAGTAATAATCGGAGGATTAACTATCTTGTACTTGGAGTAAAAGAACAGAATTTTATAGTATATTAGACATTACACTCAAGGAAATACCAAAGTTTTGGTCTCTGATTGTTAGGACATTCTAGTAAAATATGATTTAGGCCTCCAACCTCCTACATTCACAATAATAATTTATTGAACCATGGTGTCTTGTTCTTAGTTTTGGCAAGACTCATTAATTTCTGGCACCTTTATACCATACTTGTGGTCTTTATGAATGCCAACAGATTCCTTATTGGTAGTTTTAGAAGCTCTTCTGGTTCAATCCTCAATTGACCAGTGAATTCCTGCCTCATATTACTTAGCACATTGCAATGGCATGGATGTGTATGGCAGTCTCTTCTTCCAGTTCTCATTTTCTGTACTATGATTCATTCACCTTACCTAGTTTGTATAGGTGTTCTCTTAAAGACAATGTCCAGTTACCATTTTAGTGACCATTTTAATCTCTCAGAGTAGCTAGATTTAGGAGTGGCTTTAGAATGATCACCTACTAGTAATAAAGACCTTCAGACCTCATTGGTAATCAAACACCCTGTAGTTTAATATGAGCAGCTAAGCCACCTCATACTACTAATAATAATAATTAATAATAAGCTAACAAATAAACCTGAAGCAATAATCATGTTGTCAGGTCACTATGAATAATTAACTGTGATATAGTTAGGTTTGGTAGTTTATTGGTGGTTATCTTTGTAGTGTATAGATATATGTTAACCTATTTTAAGAATCTACATCACAAAGAAAGTCTATACCATAAGCTGTAGAGACTATTCTATAGTAGTATTATCTATTGTTTAATTTTCAAATAATTGCCAACATTGATAATATTCTTAATTTATAAAAACAATAAATATATCATACAATTTTTAAAACTGTTATTTTAAGTTAAATATGTTTGTATGGAAATAAACTACAATATTGATGTTATAATTTCCATTCTAGAAATAGTTTTCAAAAAAAGATTATTTTGAAGTAGTGAGCTCTTCTAACAAATAGTTGTTTGATAGTTATGTTCTTCAACTTGATGTGTAACTTACTTGGCCTCGATCTTGTAGGCAAATAGCCATGCTTTTAGTTCAAAATTCTTTCATGACTATTGATGCATCTTTCCATATTACTCTATGCTCATTGTGCCAGGCATGTTTGCATATCTGTGATATGTTAAAGTCTGTATTTTTGGTGTATGTTTCATGCTTACTTATCCTGACACTTTGTGGTCTTGTGGCTTCTCCCACATAGAAATTGTTGTATTCATAGGATGTTTTATAGATGCATTTCTTTGATCACTTTTTTGGTGTTGTTAGGTTTGATTTTGGACAGAATAGATGTGTATTCATTGTTTTAAATGTCGTGATGTATTTATTTCATGACTTTTTCACTTTTCTGATAAGATGTTTACATATCATATTGTTGTCATCTTTAAATCCATTTTTGTGAATGTTTCTAGATTTCATGTGGTGTGTTGTTTCCTTTCTTCAATCCAATGTGAAATTCCTTGTTTATAAATTACAATGAGTAATCATTTTTTATTAAACCCTTTGTTAACAGGTTTTCCCGCCTGAAACTTATTTCTATTAACAGGTTGGATGCCGCTATTTTGTAACTTACTTTTACGTGTTCCCGACTAAGAAATGTAAATAAATATATAAATACGTACCGAACGCTTATAAGCGACGGAGGTACCCGAGCAAGTGTTTTATGCTGTATCATATAATTTGATAATTCACTTTTTTATAACCACAACGGCTCAACTACATAAGGTAGTTGAGCTGTGAAAACTTTTTAAACAGGTTCCAAGAACTACTACTTGAAATTACTTGTGTTCTATATGAACAAGGCGATGATACTGAGTTACTTAAAGCATGAAATATGACTATTTGATTTAGCTTTTTGTCGGATGTGATGAATCATTTGAATATCCTTAACCCAAAGAGGATCTCCAATTACCATTGAAGAAGTCACATCAACTATGAAAAAAACTAAAGATGGTATAGCTGACAAGTTTTGTGCAGAATTACTGAAACTTATGTATGAACAGGGAATAAAATGGATAGCAACTATATTTTACAAAATATATGTACAAGTTGGTTAAAGTTGACCTTTGTAACTAAAGCAAAAAATTAAATGCAAAAATGTGCAAAGACTACAGTACAAATTAGCCTAATGAGCGACTTACTTAAAACGTTTTTAAAATTGATACACAGCTGAACAAATCATCACATCTTACAAAAAGTTTGTGGATGATATACAAAACCATTTATCAACATCGAAATTAGTGATTTAAGAAAATTAGTAGTATGGTAGTAGTTGGTAGTCAATATCTTGTCTTTTAAACATTTTGTGGTAGATATAAGGTATTTAAGATGCCTGCGAGTAAGGAGAAATACATGTTTCCTCTCTATGCTTAATTTAGATATTATGCAAATTGTTCCAATATGGTTATTGCTGGTAATTTTTTAACAAACATACATATGTGCTGCTCCCAATTTAGTTTGTTGTCAAAATATAAAACTAAAGATTTTACAATGAGTTCTTTGTAGTGATTAGTGTTCAGTTGGAATCTATCTACAGTGAAGTTGGGTCCTTGTTCTTAAAGAATGCATAAGGCAGATGCTATTGGAATATAGTACTTGTCCTGACAATCTAATAAGTTAATTGAATTCACATGCATTGAAACAGAGTAGGGCCTTAATGATACAAGGATCACACTCCACACAGTGATATATATTGACACCGTAATTTACATAATATATAAATTCCATTCTGCCCATGAATTAATCCTGGAACAATTCTAAAGAAATGAAGTTACTATTTTTATTTTACTTGCACTAGTTTATTAATGTATTCAATTTTTATGTTATCTTTAAAACACGTTTTGATTACAAGCTACACATTTTCGTATTATTATTTGCTTCTCAAATTAAATTCATTTTTGGATTCCTGATAATTTTAAATAGTAGACAGTGGCGTCATCAAAAAGGGGTTACTATATTGTTCAAGAACTTCTTTTGTAAGAAATGATATTTGGGGGAAAGCTATTATAAATGATGTATTAAAAGCATTTCCTGTCAAAAATTCCTAAATGTATGTAGCAAGTATAAACGCAAGCATAGACGCCCAAATTATAATTAATGATACAGTGTTAGAAAGAGTGCAAAAAATATGCTATTTGGGCTGCAATATTAAGGATATTTGGGATCACAGCTACAAAATAAAAATTCGCATTGAAAAAGCCAGAAGCTCTTTCAACAGTCTTAGGAAGATTTTTGTTTGATCTACCCAACGGCTTGGAGAACTTACCCTAGGTTTCTTTCCTTTAATTCACCCTCAACTATCGGTTTTACCATCGTACCTGTTCTTCTAGCAATGTGTCCAAAATACTGCAAATATCTCTGTTGTATTTGTTTAAGCAATCTATCCTTTAAGTTGTTCTAATATCGATACATTAGTGCGATGATCAATCCTGGATATTCTTAACATGTAGCGGTATACTTACATTTCAAAAGCATCTAGTTTATTTTTATCCGCTTTCTTTAAGGTCCACGTTTCGGATGCATATGTGGCTATGGGAAAAATGAGTGCCCTTACCAGCCTTAGTTTTGTGTGTCTTGTTAGGCTAGAATTTTTCGAAACAGTTACCAGTTTCATCATAGCTGTTATAGCAATAGTCAACCTTCTACGTATCTCTCTATCACACCCTCCGTCATTTGTTATTAGGGACTCCAGGTATATGAAACTATTTACTACTTCAAAGCCGCCAATTTCTTTAATGTAATGAAGATTTTTCTGAGCTCTATCTACTATCTTGATCTTTGTCTTACTCCTATTTAGCTTTAGTCCATATGTTTTGCTTTTCTCCTCCAGACATCTCATGTTTTCCATTTCTTCTTGATTTGATGCGTTTTTTAGTGTCATCAGCATGTCTCAAGTATTTCCTTATACTGAATTGCAATGTATTTTAATTTAAATAGTATTCATATTTCTCTTAAATTCCGTGTTGGATGTCTGGATCTGCTCGAAATGTAGATTACAGATTCATTTATACTTATTCTATGTTTTGAGGCTGTGGTTTGCAAGTATATGGATAAGCATTGATTTGATATACTACTGGATATTTATATTCTGTTATGTTCATATATCTTATTTAAAGATGATAATTTTTTCTATATTACAACCACATACAGTTTTTAATTGTTGAAGCAGAGCCTGGATTTTTATTTGTTTTTGAATTTTTTCTTTGCTCAATCAACCCTATGGCTCTACAGTCCGATTCGAGCCCTGGCCTCTCTAAGCAAATCTTTCCAATTCGTTACAGTCTATATCCTCCACAATCAACTGCTAATGAGATTTCTTGCGTCCTCACCCACATTATCCTCCCATTGCTTTCTCAGTCTTCCAGTAGGTCTCTTCCCCTGCATTCTTGCATTCAACAGTTTTTGAAACCTGTTTTCTTCCAGTTTATAGGGTCTAGTATTAGTCTCATTACATTTGTACAGTACAATTGTAGATTAGTATCTTGTTCTTTGGTGTACGTCTGGTGATTTATATATTGGGCTCATAGCAAAGTAATCCGAATTGGCTAGGATGTTTTTCTTTAAGCTCTGCATCGTCAATGTTGTCTTTTGTGATATTGTGATGTTGACTCATAAATAGATAAAGCTATCTACTTTTCAGTAAGTGTAGGGTTTTGTTTCTCTGATCGTCTTTGTACTATGATTTTAATGTTTTTTTGTGTTTATTGACAGGCCTATTTGATTAGCATGTAATTTAAGTTCCGTGTGCGTATTCTCGTCTGTTGCTTTGGTTCTGCTCATGATATTTATGTCATCTGCATAGGCTGCCAGTTAAACTGATTTATTGATAATTGTATTGTTTCTACCTCTTGATGTTTTTCTAACTATGTATTCCGAATAAGAAGCAATCACTGTATGACTCCAGTCTACAAAAAAATAAGACTTGAAAATATATATATGGGGAGCTAGCTGATCTACAGCATATGCTGTTACAATTTCCTTTACATTTTATTCAAATATCAAATTTTTATACCAATATCATTCAAGTTATCTTCTAATTTTACACATCTTTTAGAGTCAAAGAATCTAGATGTATATAAAATTTTATACAGTCATATTAATTGTTGTGAAAGAGAAAAAAAAATAAAGAACTGCCTAAGACCAAGTGATACTGCATCACTGGGTATGTCACATATTTGGGTGGAATAGGCTGTAGAAAACTATTCTGCAAAAAGATTTACAATATCTGGTCCGCGACTAGATTCAACACCACCATAACTCAACACAGCGGGTAAAGAAGGCTTTGAATTCACAAACAACCAAAATCCCTTTAAATTATTTCCTGGTGATAATTCTGTTAAATAAATATGATTTCTGGAGCCTTGAGCTTTTAACAATTTACAGTTGGTCCTCAGCTGAGAAAAAGTGCGATAATCCAGAAGTGATTTAGATAAAAGATTTTTTTTGTGAGCTTTCTTTTTCTCAACTATCAGATCCTTCAACTCTGGTGAGAACCAAGAAGGGAATCTACGTTTTGAATACCTTTTTAGGAGGATAAATAATTCTATAGCTAAGTAAACTATATCATAAATAATATTGACAATTTGATTCAGTGGTTTTCCTAAAAATAAATTATCCCAACAGAACTCTGTTAAAAAATCAGTTATTTTCGCATAGTCAGCCGAGAGTCCCTATAGAAACTATCACTAACCAAACCACTATTATTGGGGCACCTTTAGGTCATCTTTATCTCAAATTCCAGTGGTGGGTGGTGCATACCCTCTCTCAAAAGAGCTTCATCTACCCTGGACACAGTTACATCAGTATCATCAAACAGCACCAAATCGAGGATATTACCAGTGGAATTCAGAATAGTGTTGGACTGAAACAAATCATGGTCTGCACACATACCAGACACTACCTGCAGGGCTTCAACTTCAGATGCTATGGCTGGTTTCAAATTCAGCTGGTAGAGGAATTGTTGTAGAGCACATGTGATTTGAAAACCATTCACAGTTTGGTAAATTGAACTCAGCAGTCAGATAATAGTGTGCAGATGGATAAACTTCAGCTACTTTTTCCAAGGTTTCACAAAATATGGAATATTTCTCAAATGTAGACTTTGGTGGCAAATATGCTGTTCCTATAATAAACTGATTTGCACCTTCAATCACCAATACAAGAAGTTGTTTGATTGTCTGGTTAACTGTTAAAGCTCTTATGAACTGCAATAAGGATTCCACCACCTCTTGAGACTGAACTTGTTTCCCTGGAGCGATCAGTTATATATATATATATATATATATATATATATATATATATATATATATATATATATATATATATATATATATATATATATATATATATATATATTGAGGTTAAACAACTGCAGCTTCATTGGCATAGTTACAAGTCAACCAAGTCTCGTTGACGTATTTATGTTATATCTGATGATAGGTAGCTTTATCCAATGTTGATAAAGTTTTTATTTTTAAATCTCGAATGATTGGAAGTCTTAAATACAATCCTCTTACATCTGTCAAAAATACAGTTGTCTACACCACTGAGAGTTTGTATATTTTATAAACGATAAGGTAGTGATAACAATTTATTACACAGGTTGTCCTTGATTTATTATCTTGATTAAGTAATATTTGTATATACGAGGTTCTTGTTGTAACTGTCCTTGTTTATATCAACAATTTCTGATATTAAGGTATATGGAAATACATATTTTAATCAAATAACATAAGGAGAAAGTTATAGTCTCGTTTCATCTTTTTATAAGGTTAGTGATTTTGCAATATCCATGTGCTACTAAGATTTTATTGTTTATAATAGTATTTGATGTCATTTTTAGTTTACTTTTGTTGCATTGAGCATCTTAACTTAAAACAGGTCAAAATAAGATACATTTAGAGACACAGTTAATAAGAAACATTTACCCAAACATAATCCAATTAATGAGCAAATTTGGTCAATAAGTTTTGAAAACATATCTTCATTATGATAAGTATAAATGTCATGGAATCTAATGGGATTTAACTGCAGGTATTGAAAAAGAAGTCAACATAAGAGATTTATATATTTTATATTTACTTTTTTAAGATAAAAGTCTTACGAAAAAATGGCACAGGACATGTTAGAAAGGCATATTCTTGGTCACTGACTAATTGGTTTACCACATGAAGGTCACATAATTTTGTAAGGAAGGCAAAAAAAAACATCTGAAATATGGAAAGCTTTTCTCTCACATCTTCTATCAGTTCAACTTGAAGACATATACAAATACTAATTTCAAGATCTTCCTAAAAGTTACATCATTTATTGACATTATTTGATAACAGATGTACTTAAAAACTATACATTTTTTATTTTATTTTTGTTTTATATTATTTCTGTTTTTGAATGGCACAGTAAATGTCAGCCTTCCTCTAGGTTATTTTTATAAATACGACTTAACATTTCTCTTAATGTGACTTCATTTAAATCGTCTTGAACTGATAAAGATTGGTGCTTGAAACTTTTTATTTCAAATTTAAATTCTTCAATGTTGAGATCAGTAATTCTGCTTTCATTTTTAATTATTTATTTCGTAGTCATCAGTTGACTTTCGTAATCACCTGATTAATAATCTCTAATATGGTACACACTACAAATGCTACTTAGTAGACATTTTCAGTACTTTTCAGAGCTTCATCTTGAATCAGCTCATCACACAATTTTTTCGTTTTTTGTTCTGAGAACTCAGATGTAGCAATTTTGCAAAAACTCATCCACTTGACTAATCTGGAAGCAAGTCAAAACGATGAATTCAAGTTTCCCAATATTTTTAAAAGGGAGCTGATCTCACTCATAGTTTGAGGTGTTGAGAGATCATGCTTTTAAGATCCTATAGAGCCTGCTCAACTTTACTTTAATACACATCTTAGACCACATCTAATCTTGTAGACATGCTTGCTTTCAATCTTGCTTTCAGGTTTCAATGTCAGTTGCACATATTTTTAGAGGACTTCCCAGTGTGAAGTTGAATCCGGAAAGAAAGAATAAATTTTCTTCAAAAATCCTAAAAAAATCTGAGCTTCAATGGTAGCATACTCAGGTTACTAATTCATATCAGTAGTAGGCAGAACACCCCACTTCAGACCCTTGAGCATTAATTCTTGTGTATCATAATGAATATCGACGGTTAAATGTCGAAACTTCATAAGTCAAAAATTGGCCATTTGTAGATTTACGAGGATTTAGGTTGAGACTATTGTTTCGAACGTTCTGATAAAAACCCAGATTCATGAAAACTATGTATTGCCATGATTTTTTTAAGTAATTAAGTAAATATTAAGGAAAATATATGTACTAAACATCCAAGTTTTTTCGCTTTAAAAAAAAATTAATTTTGACTTGTGAGTGTTCGACTTTTAACCATCGATATATTAATTTGGTGTATAGTGTCAGTGTAATAAAGCTGATAATTTGTGCAACAAAATATAATTAAGCAATGTTGATTGTGGTATTATTATTTTGAACAATATAAACAACTAATTGTCTGCTGCTGGAGGCACGTGTCCCCTTTGCCCCGCTCTAGTTCCGGGCCTGAACCGTATCACTAGGTTAGTGACTAATTGTGAGATAACATGCCAAACAAACCGTATGAAAGTCACATAATTTTCTGAGTAAGACGAAAGGAAAAAGCTTTAAATTGATAATGAAAACTTTTTACTCCTAATTCTCTGTACGGCATAATCACATGCTATATTCAGAAATATATATGATTTCTTATATTCTCATAGTAAATACTAATAGTATAAACTTCAAATCTTGCTTTCTTTGCATCTGTTATTTGGAGATTCAATTAGAATACTTTACACCACAGGGAATTTTATCATTTCTTTTGGGATTCTTATTTTTATTAGCATATTATTTCTACCATTACCTTATCTATCCAAATTTTGATCAACTTTGTTAACACACTTTCGGGCAATCAATGCATCATTGAATGTATTCACTCACTAGATGTCATGTGATTTGGAATACATTGTTGGTATTTCTAAGGTTTTTATGATAATTAAGTTGCTACTAAATATGTTTATTCTTGTGACTGTCAACAAGAATGTCACCAAGATTGCCACTTCTATAGCATTACTTCAGTAAATTAAATGTTCCTTTTAGGTAGTCAAATAAGTAAGTGTTAGATTATTATCTTACAGACCTATTAGTGACATGATTTCAGTAATAATAATTTATTTTAAGTCACTTGTCTTCCTGTTTTGATTACCTATCGAGTTTTTATCTCATATTTAGCTAGATATCAATATTATTAATAATTTACCTCTTTCTTTTTTTTTGTGTGTAACTTTCAGTAAAATTTAAAGCTGTTTTAGTTCGATTTTTTTGTTATATATGACTCCAGTCGTCAAAGACGAAAATGTCACTGAACCTCTCATAATTGATCATTATATAAACAATATATTATGATCAATTCGAAAATAAAAAAACGGCAATAAAATGTAGTTTTTCCAGGAAATGTGGTTTTCTTGTTAGAAAAGTTACATATGCCACAAAAAATATGTTTCATATAGATATCACGCATCACAAAACCACACATAAGATAAAATATTTGTTGTGTTAAAAATGATGCAAAATAATTAAAAGTGGACATCCAACGAAGGTATTGAATTCACACAATATTTTCTATTTCACCCCACAAACATCTTTTTTAATGAAACTATTATAACGTGTTTTAGATAGCGGCGAATTACATAGCATTAATATACTCCATTCGCTTAGCTCGAGCATATTTTGAAACATTCATTGTCGGAAACCTACAACACAACAATTCCTACTTCTCAGTATTAATAGCTCAAGTATACTACTATTGCAGACTTCTTTCTTTGAAAAAAGAAGAATTATTCTAAATAGTGTAAGTGTATACTAAACCCATCAAATTTTGGGTAGTATATATTTAAAAAATATATTTTAATTGTTATAATTTAAGATAACTATTTATTATATGGTGCAGACAAATAAATATTGATTGTTGGTAAATCGCAAAGTTGTATTTTATTTGCTATTTAGTTTGTTTACTATTAATATTGGCTATGAGTACGTGTGCTTGGTTGTATAGTA